TGACTGATGCTTCGGAGTCGAGCAGGATGAAAGCCTCGGAAGGCTAGAGGGGTCACAAAATACGGTGTCCTGGATGTTAGCGGTTGCACTAAGAGAAACAATCTGTTTGGCTTGTACTGAAGCCACATCCATAAAGCCAGTCAGCAGAGAATCTTTCTTTTTGAGTTCCTCTGAAAGTCGTCGGATGTCTTCCATAAGGTCAGCAATCTTCTTGTTCGCTTTCTTAAGGAGTGTGCAGTCCTAATGGGGCAGAGTTATCTCGGCTAGCATAGTCACCGGAGCTTTGTTGCGATCAGTAGCGTTGATCGCGTTTTTACGGTCATCTAGCTTAAAATCCATGTCGGATGACTAAAATCCTTAACCCACGTAAAACTTAAGTTAAAAACTCAAGTTAAATAAAAAGGATATAAAAAATGTAACGAAAAAGAATGGATTAAAACTGGATAAGAGTTCGTTTTAAGACGGAGCTTCCGACAGGTGGCTACAGACGCCAACGCATGCGCAGAGTGCAGATTACGTCAGCAATTACGTCAGCGATCTTGTGACAAGATGATGCAAGGTTTAGGTATATAATAAGGTATATAATCTTAGCAAATTCAATAGGGACATCTACAACTGCAGTACTTAAATCTAAGTAAAGTAATTTCCCTGACATTTTTGTGTTACTTTACTTTTAATAGACGCATGTAACAGTTTTATACTTCCTGTGAGTATAATCCAATCAATCTTATTTTCATACTGTATATCCGTTGTGTAATTTGATAAATTGTGTTGTATGTCGTGCTCGCATCGCATCTCAGAGAAGACTCTGACTGCAACATGCGTCTTTGTAAATAGAGAAATGGACAGAAAAAGTCTCTAACTCTGCCTGTCAGCTCGCTCTGCTCCGTTAAAACTGAATTTACCATACAGAATTGAATACGAGTGCACTTGACAAAAATATTAAAACACACATAAATAAATACATTAAAAAATTAGTAATAAATAAAGTTGAATAAACAAATAAGGTAATTATAACAAAGGTGAATAAGTAAAGGCACTAATTAAAATATATACATTTATGTCTCCTTATATAATTTAATTACTACCTACATTTATTTATTTACTTTATTTTTTTGTGTATTTAATTGGATGCTTATTTATTTATTGAGCATTTATTTATTTCTGTATTTATTTCTGACTGTGTCAGGATCGGTCCTCCATAGCGGGGTGGGAGAGTTATCAAGCACGTAAAGTTTGGTTCAGATGTTAGCATGTACACTGAAGTTACAACAACTTCCTGTGTCATGGCGAAGACTTGATCTTTGACGCCACGCCACGGACACACCCATTGACGAAAACTCGCAAATAGCACAACTTTTCATCTTCAATGCCTTTAGAAGGCACAGCACAAATTTGAAGTCGGTCGGACTAAATCCCTAGGAGGAGTTCGTTAAAGTACGAAGTGTGTAAATCATCCAAAATTTGACGTAAAATTCAAAATGGCCGACTTCCTGTTGATTTTAGGGCATCGCTCCAAGAGACTATTTTGTGCGTCTGGACAAGATACACGTACCACAGAAAATTTGTGCACGTAGGTGAAACGTGCGGCGGGGGCTGCTTCGTTAAAAGTCACTTCCTGTTGCCAGCAGGTGGCGCTATGACTGTGGGTGAATGTCGGCATGTACATGTGTTCAGGGCGGGACTCTCATCCTACATGTACACTTTGGTCCAGATGTGAGCATATACACTGAAGTTACGACAACTTCCTGTGTCATGGCGAAGACTTGATTTTTGACGCCACGCCACGGACACGCCCATTGACGAAAACTCACAAGTAGCACAACTTTTCATCGTCAATGCCTTTAGAAGGCACAGCAGAAATTTGACGTCGATCCGACTAAATCCCTAGGAGGAGTTCGTTAAAGTACGGAGTGTGTAAATCATCCAAAAATGGCCGTAAAATTCAAAATGGCCGACTTCCTGTTGACTTTAGAGTATGGGTTCTTGAGGCTTTTTTGTGCGTCTTGATATGATACATAAAATATATAATCTTAGCAAATTCAATAGGGACCTCGCACGGTCGTGCTCGGGCCCTAATAATCTTAGCAAATAAATAGGGACCTCGCACTTTTTTCAGTTTTTGTTTTTTCCTTGGTTTTCTGTTCCCTGCCTGCCTCCCTGTGTTTTCTCCCCTGTGTGCTCTCTCTCTCCCTCTGCTCCTGAGCCCAGCCAACTACCTGCACCTGCATCTCATCAGCCACCTCGTCAGCCTGCCACACCTGCCAGTAATCACCTCATGACTGCCTGTATTTCAACCCCGGTTCTCCACACCATCCTCGCTTGATCGTCGTTGCTCCATACCTGGTGCCACTTCTGTGTTCAAGCGTCCATGTTTCTTATTTTTTCACACTTACCCTGTGCCTTGTCGTTGTCTTCCCTAACCTTGTCTCTCTGTCTGTCTCCCTCCCAGGTACACTCACCCTCGTCCTCCGTTCGGCTGGGCTCATCCACTGGCCCACTCCTCTTCGGACTTCCCTCACGGCGTCCTCCCTGTTTCCCCGCCTCTCCTCGCTTCCTCGGCCCCTGTGTTCCCCGGCTCCCTGGTCCCCTGACCCCTTGGTTCCCCGTGCCTGTACTTCCCCGACGTCCTCCTCTCCCTCCACTCCAGTCCCTCTCACCCTTTTTCCCTAAATAAACCTCCTTCCCTCAGAGTGCTGCATTTGGGTCCTCTCTGTCCACACACCACACCCCGTAACAATAGTCTCATCTTGAGTCCAGATCTTTTCATGCACCAAGCAACCAGCTCACACATCAACCTCAACCACCAGCCACAGCGCCTGGTCAACTTAATCCGACATTACCAGCTCTTTTATTCTAGAGTTTCTTCTTTTCTGTGTTTCTCGGAATAGTTTCAGATTACTTAACAGTCTGTACCAAATTCGGGTGCAAGAGCAGCCCCAAGGTATTTTATCCACTTTCTTTCAAGCCTCCCTCCCAACCTGGGAAACTCCATCATATTTCTATCTACATTCTAAACTAGCTCCCCAACCGTTGTACCAAGCACCAACTTCCCTCCATACTTGGACACTTAAATTTTGCTATCCTCATCATTCCACAAGTAGGATCCCTTCTTTCCCACTTATCCTACCTATTCGCCACAGTTCCTTCCCTCCACGATTACTCCATACTCGACAACACTTGTAAATGGAGCTGAGATCATTCCTTTCTTCTCGGAATGGCATCGCTATTCCTGTTCATAACAACCACTTAACCCAACCCGAAGACATCAACCAATACACCGATGCAGCACCGTCCGCTGGAATCAACGGCCACTACGGTGGCAGATAGTTCATCTCAGAGTGGCCATTGGAACTGTCCTCCCCTGACCCTCTACGAGCTCTACCCCACAATTCATATCTACTTTCTCGACCCCTCATCCCTACCTCCTCGATCCCTTCATCCCTCCCCTTCGACCCCTACATACTTCCCCACTCGACCCCTTCCCTTCGACCGCTTCATCCCCTCCATTCTTTCCTTCCTGAACCTTCTCTCTAACCAAATAAACTACCTGTTATACCTTAATTGGCGTGGTCTTAGTTAGTTAAATGTCATTTCAATTTGTTTAGAGGTTGTGTTTGCTGTCATTTCCATCGCTGAAATCTTGTGGAACATCTCTTCATGTTTGATGGAAAGTTTCACGATTAGTGGCAAGATGTCTTATCTGGTGTTACTCCTGTTACAGTTGCATTCACGCTTCTTCTGTTTGGTGACAGGTTTAAAGAGAGAGTCGCTCGGTGAGCCCAAAAAGACGTCAACTATGCCATCTGGACTGGCTTCATTAGTCAACATCTATCTGTAGCTGGTATATTCAGATCCATGCAGGTTCCACTGTCACTCACGTTAGCGTTAGCATCCATCAAACCTTTACAAAAGTATTTCCATATTCCCACTGGCAACTCTGCTTGGTACTAATTATAAAGACATCTTGTCACATAAGCCCGTTTTTCACCGCATAGTACCAGCTCCACTGGCCTCGACTCTACACACCTTTTTTGGTTTTCCATCGGGGAAAAGTTGTAACTGCTACCTGGTACTTTTTTTCAAATCACCTCCGTTGAGGTTCCAAGTAAGCTAAGGCGATACTAAAATGTAACGTGAAAACACAGCAGACTACTGATTGGTCAAAGAGAATCTAGAGTTAGACTGCAGTAAGTAACTTTACTGTAACTAGTGATAGTGGATGGCTCTTCCTCTGGGTTGTTGTGGCCGTGTTTTATGTTATGTGGGTCACGTTAGTAGCAGTTAGCTGTGTACCTGAGTAACGTTATTGGTAAAACCCATAGACTATATATAAATACATAAACTGAATGTTATGAAGCAAACAGCGGCAGGTCCGAGCTACTGTAGCGTTAGCTGGCTGGTCCTGGCTGCATCACTATAGGCTAACGTTAGTAAACAAATCGCTCCACATTTGCTTTTTACCGTTACATCCTCTCTGCAGGCTAAATCATGTGTGTGGCACACAGGATATAACACGGGTCGCGTTAGTTGGTGAAGTAATATGGAAAGCCAACGTTCTATAACTTTGCACCGGATAACTTTAGCAACTGCTTGGCGTTAGCCTGCAAGCTAACGTGACTTTCGCTGTGTTTCTCCAGCTTTACTAATGCTCACTTTGTTCTTACTCGACACCATCTGAACCTGTTTGGACTGATGGGCTTCAGCACATAAACCTTTATTGTTGTTTTGTATCCTTATGTGGAGCCTGTGTTTTGCTGTGAGCCAGTTGTTTCATCGTGTTAGTGCACTGCATGTCGTTAGCTGCCGTGTTGTCGCTGTTGCACGAGAAAGGCTCGGGAGCGCGCACAGGGCTGAATCCGACCCGGAGACCTCACATTCAAAGCAGAATAGTGATGCAAGCAACGGAGAAAACAGGCATGTGCTTCATTTCTAAGTGAGTTTTGAGCCCATTGACAATAAGGCAATGAAAATTTTATTAATTTAATTGAAAGACTTACAAATAATCCCTTTAAGGAGCTCCGCAAGTGGTGGTGGGGGAAGCTTGCGCCAACCTGGGGGAGTACTATCTCTGGAGTATTTCTGGGTACTATCTGCAATGGGAAACGGACAGCGGGCCAAAACCAAGTCGAGTAGAGTCGAGTTGTGGCGAGTTGAGCTGGTACCGATGGAAATGGAAAAAAGGCATTATGTTCTCATATTATCAGCTGAAAATGTGACAGGAAGAAAAGCACAGGTGAATGATCAATGAATGAAAATCTCAGGACTCACTGGGATACTTGGACAGAACGGAGCCATCGTTAATATTGGTATCAGTGCTTTATCTACTATGACAAGTCTACATGTCTGATGTTGAAAGACCTATCATGGCAGCAACAGTTCCCTAAACCTGCTAACTCTCAGTGAAATGAGTTCAGCCATCAGTTATAATGCTCATTAGAGACACAACAACAGTTTCTTTCCACAGGCCATCCTTCTGATTGACAGATAATTCAGTCATGGTGTCATACCCTCCAACATTATAGATTGCATTTTTATAGTTTAACATCATCATGGCCTTTCAATATTTATTTCTTTTCACTACTGTTTGCACCTTACAAACATTCTTAAATTGTATATAGATATTTTATTTTTATTTTAATAAACATATTTATATAAACACCTATTTTTTCAAACAGTTGTGTACGTACTAGTGCTGTATGTTCTTATACCTTATTTGTTCAGTTTTGAGGGGTCCTTTTCTGAACCATGACACAACGATCCTCATGTGGTTTTTCTGAGGTTGAGCATTAACGCTAAACAGGGCCATGGCTTTGCCATGAGTACTCTCCTAAACAGATGAACTATGTCTATGCTGAAAGTTCACTTTTTCAGATAAAGCACATAGTAAAGTCACTTTCAGAGAGGTGTTGTATGGGTTGAGTTCATTATTGTTAAATTTATATGGTGGTGACTTAACTACAGACACACTTAAAAAAAATCAAATCAAATTAGCTCCTTGTAAATGAGGACTGATAGACTTCCTTGTCCTCATGCCCTTGTGGGGACATTTGATCCTCATAATTGAACACAAACATACGGACACACATCTTTAAAACCCAGTCCCCCTGCTAACCCTACAGAAACATAAGCTTCGCTGCCACCCAGTGGAAACAGAATGACTGCACACTCACAGGTACACCAGGAGTCCCTGGATCTCCATCTCTGCCTGGCTCCCCCTGCAAAAAGACACACCATGATTAACTGAAGCTTGTGAGTGTGTTTACACATGTGCTGGTGTGTTCATGCGGTGTGTGTGCGTGTATGTGTGTGTGTGTGTGTGTGTTGCTTGTGCGAGACTGTGTAACAACGGGTGTGTCAATTTAGGTGTGTGTATTAGTGTGTGCTGGTCCATGCCTTCAATCTCTGTGTCTGCGCGTGTGTGTGTGTGTGTGTTGCCTTCATTCTGTCTGTGTGTGTGTGTGTGTGTGTGTGTGTGTGTGTGTGTGTGTGTGTGTGTGTGTGTGTGTGTAAAAAAGGTCATGATTACCACTAGCAGCCAATAAGAGAAACCCAGTGAGAGGGATTGGAATTGGCTAGTTGTGACCTTTAACAAACCTGACTTTTTATCTGGTGTGTGGCTTTCCAACCATATCCTGCAGCACTGTAACATACTGCTCCGCTGGGCTATCACACTGTCTGCAGAACTGAATCAGACCATCATCACTCGCTGTGATTGTTCAATTTGTGACTGATTCTGTGTTCACAATGGTAGAAAAAGTGCAGGGTGGCGTCTTGTTGCTACAACGTGGAGGTGTTCATGTGCTCCTGCTGGGATAGACCCCAGTCCCCCTTTATACCTTTGCATTATTATAATGCATTCCTTGCTAGTGTTTGGCAAGTTACTCAAAAATTGTAATAAGTTACTAGTTACTTATTACTCCTTTAAAGGGGCAATATGTAGTTTTCCGCAGCCACTAGCGTTGCAGATTGAAGACTGCAACCTGGTATGCATGCTTGCTTAAACCCATGAGCGAGCATAATCTGAAACACAACCACTTTCATACAGAAATTCTGAAATAAATGCAGAAACACCGGCATGGTGGCTGTGGCTTTTCTCCAGACATGTTCAGACTCTGTTACTTAAATATTCCCAGCTCAGAGGCATATCAATCGTACCTGTCATACCGCATATTGACACAATACTCCCGGGAAAAAAGGCAGTGTGACAGCAGCTATAGACAGACATGCTGGAAACTCAGGTTAAACTCCTACTGCAGTGTTACAGTAATATTTTTATTAGCTTGAGGTTGAACTAATCCCATGCTGGTTACATGATAACGGTACATTTACCGCATTTGTGAGGAATCTTGGAGTTATCTTTGATGTCGTTTAAGTCTCACATTAAGCAAATTCTTTTTTCCACCTATGTAATATAGCAAAAAACAGGAACTGTCTAAAAATGATGCAGAAAAACTAGTCCATGCATTTGTTACTTCTAGGCCGGATTACTGCAATTCCTTATTATCAGGCTGCCCGAAGACTCTTCAGCCTCCAGAATGCTGTAGCACATGTTCTGACAGGAACCAGGAAAAGAGATCACATTTCACCTGTCTTAGCTTCTCTGCATTGGCTTCCTGTAACATCCAGAATAGAATTTAAAATCCTTCTTCTCACCTACAAAGCTCTTAATGGTCAGGCATCATCTTATCTGAAAGAGCTCAAAGTACCTTACTACCCCACCAGAACACTGCGCTCCCAGAATGTAGGGTTACTTGTGGTTCCTAGAGTCTCCAAAAGTAGAATGGAAGCCAGAGCGTTCAGCTATCAAGCTTCTCTCCTGTAGAACCAGGTTCCAGTTTGGGTTCGGGAGGCAGACACCATCTCCACATTTAAGAGTAGGCTTAAGACTTTCCTCTTTGATAAAGCTTATAGTTAGGGCTGGCTCAGGTGAGTCCTGAACCATCCCTTAGTTATGCTGTTATAGGCCTAGACTGCCGGGGATTTCCCATGATGCACTGAGCTCCTCTCTCCTCCTCCTTCTCTCCCTCTGTATGCAACCTCATCCCATTAATGCATGTTACTAACTTGACTTCTTCCCTTTCCCGTTGTCTTGTGCTTTCTCGTCCCTCTCCTCTCTCCTCCTATCACTTCCTGCAGGTGTTTCTGGCTCTGAAGCTGTGGAGTTGGATCTGTGGTTGCGGGTCACCTGCTGCCCCTATGTTCCTGCATTCTGGGAGCGCAGTGCTGTGGTTGGGTAGTAAGGTACTATGAGCTCTTTCAGATAAGATGGTGCCTGACCATTAAGAGCTTTGTAGGTGAGAAGAACGATTTTAAATTCTATTCTGGATTTTACAGGAAGCCAATGCAGAGAAGCTAAGACAGGAGAAACATGATCTCTTTTCCTGGTTCCTGTCACCTGCTGCAGCATTCGGAATCAGCTGAAGAGTCCTAATGGACTTTTTCGAGCAGCCTGATAATAAGGAATTGCAGTAATCCAGTCTAGAAGTAACAAATGCATGGACTAGTTTTTCTGCATCATTTTAAACTGATTATTATTTATCCTGATTTTTGCAATATTATGTAGGTGAAAAAAGGCGGTCCTTGAAATGTCAGATTTAAACAACATGTCCTGATCAAAGATAACTCCAAGATTCCTCACAGTGGTGATGGAGGCAAGGGCGATGCCATCTAGGAAAACTATATCTTAATCTTATCTTATCTCAATAAATTCATCTGAGTTTAACACTAGAAAATTACAGGTCATCCAGGTTTTAACATCCTGAAGGCACATTTGAAGTTTAGCTAACTGATGAGTTTCATCTGGCTTGATTGATCGATATAACTGAGTATCATCTGCATAAAAATGGAAGTTTATGAAGTGTTTCCTGATAATATTGCCTAAAGGAAGCATATATAAAGTGAAGAGGATTGGTCCGAGGACAGATCCTTGAGGAACTCCATGACTAACTTTGGCATGCATGTACAATGTACATGTACAAACTGAAATCAATCTGATAAATAGGACTTAAATCAGCTTAGAGCAGTTCCTTTAATGCCAATTAAAAGTTCCAGTCTCTGTAATAGGTTCTGATGCTTTCTCAAGGATCTTAGAGAGAAATGGAAGGTTAGATATAGGTCTATAGTTGGCTAAAACATCTGGATCAAGGTTGGGCTTTTTCAGAAGAGGTTTAATTACAGCTACTTTAAAGTACTTTGGTACATAGCCTGTTGATAAAGATAGATTGATCATATCTAGTAGAGATGCTGACTAAGGGTAAAACTTCTTTAAGCAGCCTAGTCGGGATGGGGTCTAAGAGGCAGGTGATGGTTTAGATGAAGAAATTATTCAAGTTAGTTGGTAAAGATTGAGGGAAGCAAAGCAGTCTAAACATATATATGGTTTTACAGCTGTTTCTAAGGTTCCTGAGTTTAGAGATAAGTCGGTGCCAATTAAGTGTAGTTCTTGGTGAATTTTGTCTCTAATAGTTAGAATTTTATCATTAAAGAAGCTCATGAAGTCGTAACTACTGAGAGCTATGGGAATACATGGCTCAATAGAGCTGTGGCTCTCTGTCAGCCTGGCTACAGTGCTGAAAAGAAATCTGGCGTTGTTCCTATTTTCCTCTATTAATGACAAGTAGTATGCTGCTCTGGCATTACGGAGGGCCTTCCTATAAGTTTTAAGACTATCTTGCCAAATTAAACAAGAATTTCCAGTTTGGTGGAACACCAATTTCTCTCAAGTTTCCGCAATATTTGCTTTAATTTGCGAGTTTCAGTATTATAGCATGGAGCTAACCGTCTTTGTTTTATTATTTTCTTTTTTAGAGGGGAAACAGAGTCAAGTGTCATTCGCAGTGAAATTACCATCCTCTGTTACTTTGTGACTTGATAATGAATTTAGAGCTGATGGAATCGCATCCTTAAATTTTGCTACAGCACTATAAGACAGACATCTTGTTTAGAAATTTTTGCCCTAACGTGTATAATGTATATAATGTAGCATTTTACTTCAAACTAAAACATGTGTCATCTACAAATGTTACCCAGTTGGCTGAGACAGATGACCCTGAGTCTAGGTCCCTTTTAAAGGGAGTTTTCCATGCCACTGTTGCCAATTGCTGCTCATGGTGGGAACTGTTGGTTCTCTGTAAATAATATTACACAGAATACAGTCTAGATCCGCTATAAATGAAAAGTGCAATGACATTACTTCTGTTATGACTTGACACTATATAAAAAACTGAAACTAAATTGAATTGAACCTGAAGCCACTTTATTAAATCAGAGCCATTGTAGTGTGAAACTGTGTTACTTGTTGACTGATGTTTTGATCACATTACATTATCTGATCGGAGGCCGTCATCACTCAAAATAATGACAATTAGATATTTTTGTCAGAATGGCTCAACCCTACACTGACTATGGATAAGTAGCTCATCTAACCATCCAGTAGAAGTGTGAAGAAAAAGTACCTGGTGTCCTTTAGAGCCCGTCTCTCCTCTCTCCCCCTAAAGATACAACAGTGAACATTAGAAAACATCAAACTCACAGTAATTCACATGTGTTGCCCAGAGATGGGGACTCGAGTTTGAGACTTGGACTTGAGTCACACACACAGTGACTTGACATAGACTTGACCTGAGACTCATCCTCAAAAGACTGCAGACTTGACCTGGACTCCAGATGTGGGACTCGTGAACAAACGTCGGTATGAGCTTGCTGTTATTCTCCTCCGTGTTACCTATAACCTACCTACGTAACACATGCTACATATCTGCTGCACACTGCCACACATGATAAGGACAACACCCGCAGCTGCTGTGCCATTCATCATAAACTTTGGCTTTAAAACTTCAACAACAAGACAAAGAAGCGCTGAACGCAAATAGGTTAGTAACTTGAGGTTAGTAAACATGCGTAGTTCAGCATTGGCCATCTAACGTTAGCTTGCTTCTTGCTTTAGCTACAACCTACGCAGGGACGTGCACAGGGGGGTTGCTCTGGTTGCCCGGGCAACTGCCCGTTTGCCTTTCCTGACTCAAGTTGCCCTTCCGAGGAAAAAAAAATAAAATAAAAAATAATCGCGATCGCAAAGCCTCATTCACTTCCATTCAGCAGGGGAAGAGCAAACTCTGTTTAAGTGGCTGCACTGCTGCAGCGCTGCCTGCACGTCAGTCGATTCTGTTCCTACCGGAATTCCTGTTTCCTTCCTTTATGCAATCATACTACAACAAATCATGCGTAGTTTTGCCCAGTTACCATACGTGATACGTACCAACAGAAGTGAATACGAGCTAGAAGCGCAACTGAATGTACGGGAAGCCAAAAGGTTAAAAAAGGATTGTATTTTTTTCCGAAATCTAAGCGTTTTTTATTTAATATTTTATTAGAAGCGAGTTTTCCCCATCTGTCAATTCAATCTAGATTATTATTTTCAAATAAAAAAAAAAAAGGAAAAAAAATAAAAAATAATAATGATTAAAAAAAACAATAAACAATAATATAAGGAACTCTTTTTCTCATATGTATTTGTGTGACATTTATTGTTAATACATTTGGATACTGTTTTAGTGCCTTTTTTCAGGTCAGAGCAACTGCCCTTCAAAATTCCTGTGCACGTCCCTGAACCTACGGGAGGTTAACTCTGACTGTCGTTCGTTATGAAAAGATGAACGAGCATTTCTTTGCTTGCCAACTTGGTGGTTGATTAACGTAATCATTTACATCCCGCTGGCTGCCATCACGTTAATTATTAACGTTGGCTGCAAACAGGTTTATTGTTGATCATGTAACATTACAGATGTATTTAGTTAACATTACCCTGGGTTTGAGAGTCTGGGGGATGTGTGACTTACAGTATTTATAACCTTTGATTAGTTGCATTGCACACTACTTGGTAAGTGAAAAACAGGTTGTGTTCTAAGCAGCCTGGATTGAACGCAGCAGGTGATACAAGCACAAGTGACTTGAGACTTGACTAAGACTTTAGCTCAAAGACTTGTGAGCATCTCTAGTGTCGCCTGACACTGAATCATTAATTAATGAATTAACAGTAACATAGCATCAGTGTCCTGTTAACGACATACTTTGCTGAAAACAACATACAACATGTTAACAGCTTGATCCAGATCAGGACTGTTTGTACTGGACTTGCCTGAGCATGTTTGAAGGACAACCTTCAGTACTGTTCAAATTAATCACGCCATCTAAGCAAAACATGAATAATACATTACCAAGTATGTACCATGTTAAGCTGTCAACATGTCTACATACAACAGGTAAATGTACAAACTCCTGACAGCCAGTGCTATAAATCATTCATCAAGTGTGGCCTTTGTTGCCAGTTGTAGACTTCATTAAGTCCGAACCAAATCATCTTTTATCTTACTCTGTTCATGTACTGTATGTTTTTCAATGAATCGGCTCTCACCTTGTGACCTTGAACCCCAGCCCCGAGGCCCCTGGCAGCCCTGGAAAACCTGGCTCCCCTGTTAAACCCTACAGTGGTGAAATGTTATTAATGATGGAATTCAAAAAAAGAAAAGATTCATATGATGTGGTCAAACTCAAATGGCCATTTATTTCACACAAGATGGAAAACCTTTATCTAGCAGAAAAAAAGGACATATTTTATTTAACACCTGGTCAAAATATCAAACTTGAGGAGTTTCCAGGTGTGTGTGTGTGTGTGTGTGTGAGACATGGTCCATTCTTCACATGTAACAACTTCCCAGGCTGGTGCAGTGAAAAAGAAGAATAGGTGCTGGGTAAATATGGCTTTTAAATTTGTTTGAGTGAAAACTGTCTTTAACTCATGAAATTGGTTTCATTTCTAAAAAGCTAAAGCCCTTTCTGCTTTGAAGGATGGCACCTTCAAAATTACCAAGGCTACCTGTAGTTAAAGAAGCACAACAGTGAAAACTCAGATCCCTTTTTAAAACCACAATGGTAGACATTTATGGGCAGAATTAACGCTCATCAGCAGGATCCTACTGGAAGAAGCGGCTGGCAGACAGTCAGAGAAGGAGAAAAGAGAAAGGACAAAAGCTGTCACCCTGATCGCACCCTGATCCCTCCGGGAGAATTAGCAGTGCCCTCACTAATCCGACCGCCGTGTTGTGTTTGTCACTTTTATGTGGCCGTAAGTATAGACTAACAGACTGGGGAATAAAGGTGCAAATAGTGTAGATGCTTTGGCAAGTGAAGACTAAGGGATAGACGATTGTAGCACAGAGCTTTGTGGAGAGTCACATGAATGCACAAACTGTAAAGAAATGTGGGACACAGGTACAGAGAAAATGGTGCTGAAACTCTCTCTACAGTCGTAAAGTCTGGTCGTCACGGGAGGTTGCCAGGTTTTCAACTACCTTGTCTCTACAGAGACCAAATTCACAACCTGTGCTCACCAAACATAGAGGTTACACAGAAGTGCTGGGTGGGTGGATACCTGTTGTTCCTCAAGAAATAGCTGGAGCACATAAGTCAATGGTCAATAAAACCATAAATTGAGTTTGTGTAAGGATAAAACAGATGAGCTTCAGAAACAGATCAGGCTAACTACTGTTTGTCCCACTCTAAGTCTGAAAACCAGACAATCTTGTCAAAAAACATCTATCTAGCGACACTAGTAGATGTAAATGCCTGCAATTATTCAAAGAAGGTATAAAAACAATATAGACATTAAAGAAAATACAAGGCAGCAAAAAGAAAAACCGACAGAGGGAAGGAAGATGCAGAGCTGGAGAGCAGTTCAGACAGAGGTTAAAGAAAACAATCTTGATAATCTGCTGCTCCACTCACCTTCTGGCCTGGTGGACCAAGAGGACCAGCAACCCCTGGATCTCCACACTTCCCCTAAATGAAACACACACACACCACATCTGTCTGACAATATTCCTAAATCTCTACGGGTCTCTTCCCTGTTAAACAGCTGTGATAAGTTGTGAGTGGTGCATCAGCTGTTCTGAGTACGAACATTATACTGCTGTACGGAAAACACATACTGTGCTGCCAAAAGCAGAATTTACGTTGGTGGAATCTGCTTGTGTCATATATTTATTACACGATAGTTATGATGTCCAGTTAGTGAGTCTGTTGCACAGAACACTGCTCTACAGCTTTCTTATCACTTCTTCATGACGATGCTGTTTACAAACTATCGAAATGTTACAGTCAGAATTTTAGGAGTTGTTGCTTATGCAAAATTTAATCAAGCGCATGTTGCGTTGAGTGTGCCAATTCCAAAGGCCAGGAAAATGCATTTCCAAGGTAATTTCAAGGTCAGGGAAACACAAACATGTCCTCATGCTGCTTGTGCTTGTCTTTGCAAAGAAAAATAGGGCATCCACAGACTTTACAGGTCACTTGAGTCCCCCTTTAATCTGTAACAAGCTCCTCATTAAGTAAAATAGTGTTAACTTTTCATCAGTGCCTGTAGAACTTTTAACTTGTTCTGTGAAGGAGAGAAATACAAGTAACACAACACCGTCCTTAATCATATACAACAGCAATTTGATTCCAAACAAGTCGACTCCCTCTCACAAAATGTATGTTTCACTACAGAAGCATAGAGCGAGCAGGGAGGAGGGAGTGGCATTAGAACAGACTGAGAATAGCCGAGTGGCTGGGGAGCAGCAGGACATTAGCATAATAACTAATTAGAACGTTCAACGCACAGACCTTGGGACCCTCTTGGCCGATCTCTCCGGGCGGCCCCCGAGGCCCCTGGATTCCCTGAGTGGAGAGAGACATTGAAGGAGAAGGAGGGGAGAGAAGGGACGAGGGAGGAATGGAATGAGAGGGGGAGAGAGAATGAGATGAAAGAGACAGACACAGTGCTTTGGGCTGAATGTGACAGAGTGCATGACGGCTTAGTCAGGAGGCACTGAGGAGAAATGAGATGGCTCAGGTCCTCACACACCCACACACTTACAGACACACACACCACACACACACACTCTCACTCACTCACTCACTCAGACACACACTCATACACACACACACTCTCATGAACATCCACGTTTGCGCCCTTTGAGGATTTGCCGATCCAAATTCTTGGTCATTTTCGAACCCCCTAGCTATCTAGCTAATTGGGATAACGTAAGCCTCATGAGTTGGTAGAAACACCGTCTCCGACTGACTTGTACAGATTTTAAAACCAGTAATAAACTGGATCCACACACAAGGACTTACATGGTGATACAGTGCTTAAAGCCTGAAAGAGAAAGTCATCTTTACCTGCTGAACCATACAGAGGAGAAGAGGAGTAAGAAACAGTTTGCATTGCTACTAACGTTAGCCTAGGCTCTGATGGCTGGCTTTGACAGGTAAAATAGCACCATGGATATGCTAGCTGTGAAAGGGGCTTTCTTTTTAACACAACCTGTAATGTAAAAAACAAATTTAATCAGTGAAGATGGTAACTCTCTGGTGCTACCCCGGCTGCACACTGAGTCATCTGTTCCTTACACCTTTGCTCGTGAAAGAAAATGCATCCCTTTGCTCTTTATGTACAGAATGTCTCTCTTACCACACGTACCCTCATAAAACAAGTTATGGTTGCCACACTATGACTGGACAAGCACTGTTTGTTAAGTAAACGGTCAGTTACGTTTGTATTATTAGGGCCCGAGCACGACCGTGTGAGGTCCCTATTGAATTAGCTCGGATTATAATTTTTAGGGCCCGAGCACGACCGTGTGAGGTCCCTATTGAATTTGCTCGGATTATTATTAGGGCCCGAGCACGACCGTGTGAGGTCCCTATTGAATTTGCTCGGATTATTTTTAGGGCCCGAGCACGACCGTGCGAGGTCCCTATTGAATCTGCTCGATTATTATTATTTATTAGGGCCCGAGCACGACCGTGTGAGGTCCCTATTGAATTTCGATTATTAGGGCCCGAGCACGACCGTGCGAGGTCCCTATTGAATTTGCTCGGATTATATTTTTTTTTTTTTTTTTTTTCTGCAAAGTAGGCCAAATGACATGGCCTAAACATTCGAAAACTCACCAAAATTTGCAAACATGTCAGAACCGGTGAAAAATTTCGTATTCTACAAGTTTCGCACATGGGCGTTGCAAAATGACTCGCTAGCGCCACCTAGAAAATTGGAAAAATTAGCCCCTTTCACGTTCAACCTACATGTACGAAATTTTCTGGGGACATGTATCATCAACGCACAAAAAAGCCTCAAGAACCCATAGCCTAAAGTCAACAGGAAGTCGGCCATTTTGAATTTTACGGCCATTTTGGATGATTTACACACTTCGTACTTTAACGAACTCCTCCTAGGGATTTAGTCGGATCGACGTCAAATTCTGCTGTGCCTTCTAAAGGCATTGACGATGAAAAGTTGTGCTATTTGCGCGTTTTCGTCAATGGGCGTGTCCGTGGCGTCGATGATTCGCCATGAAACAGGAAGTTGTTGTAACTTCAGTGTACATGCTCACATCTGGACCAAACTGTACATGTAGGATGAGAGTCCCGCCCTGAACACATGTACATGCCGACATTCACCCACAGTCATAGCGCCACCTGCTGGCAAGAAAGTGACCTTTAACGAAGCAGCCCCCGCCGCACGTTTCACCTACGTGCACGAATTTTCTGTGGTACGTGTATCTTGTCCAGACGCACAAAAAGCTCTTGGAGCCATAGCCTAAACCCAACAGGAAGTCGGCCATTTTGAATTTTACGTCAAATTTTGGATGATTTACACACTTCGTACTTTAACGAACTCCTCCTAGGGATTTAGTCCGACCGACCTCAAATTTCTGCTGTGCCTTCTAAAGGCATTGAAGATGAAAAGTTGTGCTATTTGCAAGTTTTCGTCAATGGGCGTGTCCGTGGCGTGGCGTCAAAGATCACTCTTCGCCATGACACGGAAGTTGTCGTAACTTCAGTGTACATGCTCACATCTGGACCAAACTGTACATGTAGGATGAGAGTCCCGCCCTGAACACATGTACATGCTGACATTCACAGACAGTCATAGCGCCACCTGCTGGCAACAGGAAGTGACTTTTAACGAAGCAGCCCCCGCCGCACGTTTACCTACGTGCACGAATTTTCTGTGGTACTGTATCTTGTCCAGACGCACAAAAAAGCCTCTTGGAGCGATGCCCTAAAATCAACAGGAAGTCGGCCATTTTGAATTTTACGTCAAATTTTGGATGATTTACACACTTCGTACTTTAACGAACTCCTCCTAGGGATTTAGTCCGACGACTTCAAATTTGTGCTGTGCCTTCTAAAGGCATTGAAGATGAAAAGTTGTGCTATTTGCGAGTTTTCGTCAATGGGTGTGTCCGTGGCGTGGCGTCAGAATCAAGTCTTCGCCATGACACAGGAAGTTGTTGTAACTTCAGTGTACATGCTCACATCTGAACCAAACTTTACGTGCTTGATAACTCTCCACCCCGCTATGGAGGACCGATCCTGACACAGTCAGAAATAAATACAGAAATAAATAAATGCTCAATAAATAAATAAGCATCCAATTAAATACACAAAAAAAAGTAAATAAATAAATGTAGGTAGTAATTAAATTATACAAGGAGACATAAATGTATATATTTTAATTAGTGCCTTTACTTATTCACCTTTGTTATAATTACCTTATTTGTTATTCAACTTTATTTATTACTAATTTTTTAATGTATTATTTATGTGTGTGTTTAATATTTTTGTCTGTTTTATTCTTCCTTTGTATTTATTTACCTTATTTATTTCACCCATGGTATTTATTTCTGCCTGTCTTTTTAAATTTTTGTATGCATTTCTGCCTCATTATGCAAATGAGGAGGGGCTGTGTCTCAAGGGGTCATCTTCTCTGCTATTGGTGGACCAGTCAGACAGGAGAGCTCCTACTCTGCCTGCAGACATCAACGATCTTGCCCCTCACACAGTCAGATGGCTTCCTTCAGTGCGCTGAGGTGTTTAACAACTCTGAAGACAATACTACCAGCAATGTCTTCCTTCTCTTTTCACGTAGACGCTCCGACAGACAGTGCTTTCAGTTTGCTGCATGCATGGACACAGAACTGCGGTATAGGGAGAAGCACACGGTCAGCTGGCTGCAGCTAAATCTGGAGCACTCGTATTCAATTCTGTATGGTAAATTCAGTTTTAACGGAGCAGAGCGAGCTGACAGGCAGAGTTAGAGACTTTTTCTGTCTTTTCTCTTTACAAAGACGCATGTTGCAGTCAGAGTCTTCTCTGAAGAGGGCAATGAAGTCTCAGTTACCCGATGCGAGCACCACATACAACACAATTTATCAAATTACACAGGATATACAGTATGAAAATAAGATTGATTGGATTATACTCACAGGAAGTATAAAACCGTTATGCGTAACACAGTAATGTCAGGGAATTACTTAGATTTAAGTACTGCAGTTGTACATTTGAAATACCTTCCTACCTTTCTGATAGGAAGCCTTCTTGAGGTGGTATAAAACATTTCTTCTTATATTCTGATTTGAGTTGTGGACAACTATGACCACATGAATTAAAAAAATAAACATTTCACTGCCCAAGTCAGCTATACACAAGTCTTGTTCATTAGACTACATGCTGTACAGTATTTGTGGACAGATTTTGTCCAGGATTTATTATGCATTTCTTCTTCTTCGTTGCATGGTTTAGAATAATAAAGGTGAGAAATGGGTCTATTCTGAGTTCATCCTGCACTGCAGCAGCTAAAAAAGTCCATTTAATCCCAAAAACCTTTTCTTTTAGGCAGGCTGGAGCAGAAACACAGTAACGATGAAATGTGTGCTGTTCTCACATTCTTCCCTGTATGTACACATAAACAACAAGGCAGGGAAATATAAAAGGAATTTATTTTATTGTTTGGGTACATTATTGTTCAGTGTACATGCTCACATCTGAAACAAACTTTACGTGCTTGATAACTCTCCCACCCCGCAGACATCTACACGCCAATACCGATTTATATTCATAGCGGCAAGTGCTATGTAGCTCCACATAGGGGACACAGGAAGTGACATATAGCACCTTCATGCGGCGTCATAACCGCGTAGCAAATTCACAGCCGCACCGGCAGAGCTCCAGAATATGCAACTCGGCCGGCTCACATGCGGACGCGCTTACAAGTGCGAGGGCCCGCCCAACGCTGCTTGCAGCTTTAATTATTATTTTTTTTTTTTTTTTTTTTTTTCTTTTTTCTGCAAAGTAGGCCAAATGACATGGCCTAAACATACTCGAAAACTCACCAAAATTTGCAAACATGTCAGAACCGGTGAAAAATTTCGTATTCTACAAGTTTCGCACATGGGCGTTGCAAAATGACTCGCTAGCGCCACCTAGAAAATTGGAAAAAATTAGCCCCTCGTTCACGTTCAACCTACATGTACGAAATTTTCTGGGGACATGTATCATCAAGACGCACAAAAAAGCCTCAAGAACCCATAGCCTAAAGTCAACAGGAAGTCGGCCATTTTGAATTTTACGGCCATTTTTGGATGATTTACACACTTCGTACTTTAACGAACTCCTCCTAGGGATTTAGTCGGATCGACGTCAAATTTCTGCTGTGCCTTCTAAAGGCATTGACGATGAAAAGTTGTGCTATTTGCGCGTTTTCGTCAATGGGCGTGTCCGTGGCGTCGATGATTCGCATGAAACAGGAAGTTGTTGTAACTTCAGTGTACATGCTCACATCTGGACCAAACTGTACATGTAGGATGAGAGTCCCGCCCTGAACACATGTA